CGAAAGTTTTGTTTCATGTCAAACAAGAAATTCTCAAGCTCTTTGGCATCTTGGGCACCTCCATAACAATGCAGCTCAGGTGCTCTCAAGTTTTGTGCCGGTGCAACGCGGGTGTTGCTTCCTCTCGTATTCAAGGCCCTCGTGAACATGGTCACCGTGGAAGTGAGTTCCCCCACGACTTCCTGCAAGTGTTGCACGGAGTCTTTGGTGTCATCTGACAATCAGTCGACTAGGGCCTCAACCTTGTCGATTCGGGACTCCGCTTTTTCTTGCGAGCTCTCTACCCCAACAAGCCTTCGTTGGCGGTAGAGTTCCTCTAAGCTTGCTTCAAGAACATCCAAGTGGGTTTCCGCCGCTGTGAGTCTCTCCTTACGGCTCTTCTTCCCGGTTGGCGCTCCAGATTGCGCCTCCTCCGCTTGCGGAGAGTAACCAACTTCTCGTTCATCATGTTCGCTATCGTGCTCCACTTGAGTGACTCGAACGACATGAGAGCGAGTATGCACTTACAGCCCACCTGCGACTGCTTGGGGCAAGGGTCCGGCTTGCCCCGTCTTGCTCGATTCGCCACGATGCTTTGCCATGGCGAAAATGCGAAGTTCCTTCGCTGCTTGCTCTAATTGCTTGCCCGCTCTGATACCACAATATCACAGACTTAGCTGGCATTGCTTAAGTCGTGAGTCACCCTTGCGGTAAAGACGCGAACTTAGCTTGTGTTGCCTAAGTCGTGCCTCGCCCTTGCGATATGCATCCGCAAAGATCAGCCCACTTGCAACCTCTCACAGGTCCCGAAGGACCTGTAAAAGAGAAAGTTGATTAGTTCGAAGAACGAGCGACAGACAAATCCCGACGTCTCGCGAAAAGGGGAAGCTTTACAAGCAATTCAGCGAGCACCTTGCATGCACAAGAGAAAAGAGGGAGAGGAGGAAAACAAGGACTTTAGAAGGTTGAATGAACAGCTGCAAGTCCACAAACAGTTGCTCATCGGGTACCGGGCGCGACAAGAAGTTCCTGTCAAGGTAACGTGCGAACTTGCGAAAGATTGTTCAACGTCCAACACTATACCGAAGCCCCATCCCCCATGGTGCCACTCGGGTGGTTCTAGGGTGCTGAGATGGCTGACGTTTCGCGAGCGGCAGCGGGCTGCAGAAAACAGCCCGTGGCTCGCGAAAACAGAGCTGTTTTTAGCTGTTTTGCTCAGTTCAGTGAGCGGTCGCATTGTAGCATTGTAACTTATTTGAACTTACATTTTTACAAGCAAAAGGGCATAAAACCAAGCCAAAACATGCTGCCACGCAGCTGTACATATAAACACAAATGACGAACGGTTCGTTGAACAGAGTTGTTGCGGGCGCGCGACGACCGTTCGTGATAGATCGGCCATATATGCCCAATCAATTAGGTGATGTAGTATAATCTAAGCATGGCCAATGAGTGAGACAATGATGTGGCACCATGAAATATTCTCCACTAATGTCCCGGGCATTCTTAGCTTGGGGTCTATAAAGAGAGGACCTTTTTAGGTATGTAGACATTCCAAACTCAATTAAACTCACTTTCTTGAGCTTTTGTTGACTTAAGCATCGTAAGGGATTTGCGGAGCACGTGCTCGGCATAGATTTGCAAGATCTTTTAGCTTGAGAGGAGCTTGGGAGGAGTTTGCCACCAAGAGGATGAGACTACATTTGATATTCCTAGGGAGCGTCTGGCTTTCAATCACGACACATTCGGAAAGTAGACTAGGTCGGGTCAATATCACTACCTTGGGCTGACGACCAAAACCATCACCAACGGATGCTTACTTGTAATATAATGCATACGAAAAGGTTAAGGTTACCAATTTAAGATCAGTAAGAAGCTTCATGTTTGAGCTTCCTTGTTCTGACATATGACCTGATTTGTGATGCCATATCATATACATTTGTTGATGCAACAAATGTATCTATATCTTGAACCTTTCTCCCAAAATCATATCTAGATCTATAACGATCTTTTCTGCCTTCACAACAAGTGCACCTCTGACAAACTTCATGATTCCTTGTCTAGCATGGATGCTACAGCCAAACTCATCTAATTGTCCCAGGAGTAAATGGGTTTCCCTCTTACCTGTCACATGTAGGACCCCTTGAATAGTGTGAATTATGTTTATCTTGATGGTGTCAATACTAGCAATTCCGAAGGCATAATTATCCAAAAATATACATCCTCTTAAGATAGGTTCTTATTGTTATATCCAGTTTCTTCTGAAGGTCATGTGATAGGTGCTGTTGTATTCACTAGCTAGATATTAACAAACTGTTATCTGCCTTCCAAAACTATAGAGCTCTTGTTTAATACTTCACCATCATCTGAGATGCTTGCTACACGTCCTTGGATATTTAGTTACTCAAAACATTCAATATCCTCTATTTTATGATTCATCATTGTAAGGTGAGAGAATAAAATAGAGTTTTGATATGATCCCACTGTCGTGGATTCTAACACTTGAAGAGTGTGGAGCATTTTATTAAAATTTTTTTGTTGTATAGTGACTTGACCTCGTCTAACTTTTTCTTGGTATCCCAAATCTCCTTTACTTGTTGTTATTGTCTGTCTTAATCTGCTTCTCACTCATATACCTCCCACTGTTCAAGGAACCCTAACCCCACGACTAGGCTCTTGATACCATTGTTGGGGACTTCATAGTGTGAAATAGTATCTTGCAACTAAAATTGAAAATGGGAAAAGTGAAACCAACAATCTGGCTCTTGATACTGTTGTTAGGAACTTTATGGGGTGAAACAGTATCTTGCAACTAAAATTGAAATCTAGAAAGGCAACATGCTTTCAGATTTAATATGGTAATTTAGCCTCCGATTAATAGAAGAATTTCACTGTGGCAGAATAAATAGAAGTGATTTTTTTTTTTTGAGTGAGCTTTACAAGTGACAAAATTGTCAATTGAGTTGGCTTTATAAGCTTGCAGAACACTTTGGGCAAGGGAGTAAGATTTGGCAGCCAAGAGGATTCTTCCATCCCTATCTTCGAGGATGAAGCCTAGACCCGCAACTTCAGTAGAGGAGGTGAAAGAAGCATTGCATTCAAGCATATAGTAGAAGCCGAAGGAACAGTGACAAGATAATCAGAATCAGTTGTTCCTCATCCCCCTCTGCGCCATGTATGGCATTAACAACTATATTAATAAGGACCGGCTTACCCACTTGGGAGTGGAGGTTCCTCTTTCAACCCTAAACCTTATAAACAACCTTGTTAATCAGTTTGTCTTGGAAAGATAAGGACATTACGAAAGTACCCAAGTACTTCATATGCCAGGTCCCCTCTTTCATGTTGAAGAGGTTATATATTTTATGTCTGGTTTGGAAGGAAGTAGACTTGTGGAAATAGATAAGTGATTTTGTTGTGTTGACCTTGAGGAGGTTAAAGAATGCAGAATATGAGTCAAAGGGCATTGAGAAGGTTTCTACAGGTTTTGTCACTAGTTGTAACAGCAAGAATGATATCGTCCCCAAACATAAGATGTGAATTGTTTTGCATTAATAACAATGTGAGAGTTTATAGTAGTGAATGGGGATGGCATTAATTACAGCATTAATAGGATCGACTTACCGACTTGGGAGTGGAGGTTCTTCTTAACCCTGAACCTTACAATTAACGAACCTAGGGGGGGAAGTTCATATAGCTTAAGGTAGAGAGGATGGCTTCCTTTAGGTTGATTTTTTTTTAGGAGGATCAAAGGGGTTTTCCTCTTGGACCTATACATTCAATAGATAAGTTCGTTAACGATGATGATGCTGTCATAGATTGGTTCTGATTAATTATTTTGTCAAGGGAAGGTTTGAGTCTCAAGCGATTAGTCTTTAAGTTTGTAATTTTGGAAAGGGAGAAAATGTTAGAGATAAAAGACTAGGAAGGATCTTCCCCAACTCGGAGGGATGAAATCAATCCTGTGAAAAGCATTACATGCATCAAAGATCTGATTTTTTTTTAATTACATCTCGTAATAAAATTGAACGTGTTAAAGCCATGAGGATTAGGACTTTTCGCTTTCCCAATCCAATTAGGAGTGTCAAGAAATTTCAGTCTGAGTAAAAGAGGATAGTGAGGTTGTTGGAGAGATGGTTCTGGACTTCAGGGAGATCAGTAAACTTGACATTGGTGCTGCAGGAGCAGTAGTGTTCCTTCTTCTCATTAGTTGAGTTGGCCACGTTAATCTATTATTACACCTTGTAGGCATTTATTTGATATCATCAAGTCCTGTACCTATATTCATCTTTTTGTTTGCTGTCCTTTTTATCTTCCTCATGAACCTTTAAACTTTGGGCTTATTACTTTTTCAAAATAAGTGGTTCGGGAAAGTTCTTTCTCTTTTCCCTCGTATTCTTCACAAGAATTCTAATGTTATCTTAAATCTCTACTTTTTCTTTGGTGCTTTAGCAAGTAATCATCTTTAGCCTGGTAGCTTTATATGAAACTACTGTTTTTCATTTAGGGCCAGCATGTTTACGTTTCATTAGATCTTTTTTGAAGATACTTTTTTTTTTTAAGATACCATCGTCAACTTTTAATTTAGTTAAAACCTCAGCACAATCGTGTTCTGTTTTTTTTTATTTACTTTGCACGCTTTGCCAACTGCAGTGGAGGAGAACTTGACAGATGATTTTTTGTACGAAACAGGTAATGCTGATATGGCTGCGCATTACTACTACTGTTGTGGGTCGATGACATCGTTCTGATGCAAGTAGTGCGGCTGATCAACTTTTATGCTAGCAATCTGAGAGATGGACGATAATCACGATGATAGATCAACTTTTGATCGGAAGTCTATATACATTGTGAAAATTGAGAAATTGAAACCCCCCCACCCTACGGCTTCTCCTTATTCGTGAGGCATATTATTAAAACGTTGTAGTCTTTTTTTTTTTTCTTATTATATATATATATATATATATATATATATATATATATATATATATATATATATATATATGTTTGGACCGTTAAGCTGGAATTAAATCAAAAACGGATGTTAAAATGATGTTTGAGTGTTCTCAAGCAAAGAAAAAAATGTATTTAGACTTTTTAGGACTTATTGCAAACAATGTCCATATTTACACCAAAACTTTAAAAACGGTACAAATTACATGTCACATGACAATGCATTTCTCTTTGGTTTTTGAGTCGCTTTTCTGTGCAGCGCCAGCGTTTCTGGAGACCTGTGGAATTTTGCAAGCCCCTTTTAATTAATCTAAATATACTAGTCAACCAAATACTTCAAAAGCAGAAGCATAAAAAAACATATTACATGTGGGGCAGTTAAAACAAATGACACTCAGCTTTACCCAAATATGAGAGAACGACGCAACATGACCCAAAGCAGTACGACACAACCAAGAATAGTTCCTGAACCCGGGGACTTTGGAGATGGTGACAATAATCTCATAACACACTTCCAACGTGAGACTACTACTGATGGGTAAAGTAATTTACCATTTTTAATCCCCAAGTGCAAATTGTCCTACTAACACTAAAAGAATAAAATCCAAATAGCAGGTAGCACCAACCTTTACCAAATATTAAAAGCTGAATGCAGTTTGGAACATAATCAAGTGAAAAGAAACTACGATATGAGGTTGAAAAGCACAAACCTGAGGACCAGTGACAAGCCTTGAACGACCACCAATAGATGACTGTTGAGAATGTTGTTGTTGTTGTTGTTGCTGCTGCTGCTGCTGCTGCTGCTGATGTTGCTGCTGTTCAAACTCCTGCTGTTGAAGTGCTATTGCCAGTTGCAAATCAGAACTGCCAAGGTCATGCATAAATAAAGGATTAGTGTAAACAGAAAAGAAATAATACAGCCAGTTGGATTGTCATTTCATTCAATTAAAAACCATGAAGAAATTAAGATTGCAGTACCAATAATCAACACTAACAAGGGTCACCCAGCTTTAAGACCATGAACTGATTACAAGTCATCCACCTGAGTTGATCGGAAAAAGTTATATAGTTAGTTTGTTAACTAGTCCGGTATGGTCACAAGACATTTAGTTGTTGTCGGGACTTGTTACTCATCTAATTTTAAGTTTTTATTTGATAATCAATCTCATTAAGGCCAACAAGAAATTAGATAATCTTGGAGTTTCAGCCACTTCCAGCTGATCTAAAGCAACTCTGCCAAAAAACTTATCAGTTTAAGATTAGTTTCCCCAATTTTCAGGATTTTCATAATTTCAGGTGTGTCCAGTCCACTCATGACAGATTTCGGTGTGGTTCACTAGTTTCAACCGAAGCCAATATTAGATAATATATCATTTTAAATAATATATCACTTCATATCGTGTATGCCACTGGCACAGTAATGGAATGTAAGATAAGCACTGATGAGCAATGTCTCGTATGAAATATGAAACAGAGGTATACAACACTAAACCATGCCTAAAGCACTTCAATCGTTTGTTAAAAGCATTTAAGTGGTTGATCCATGACTTTAACACAATGACAAACATTTTAAGACATTTGTGGAATGAAATCATGCAGGTGTTACATTTAGTGCTAATAATTCCAACATCAATATCAGCTCGATTTGCAAAATGTGGTTATGTTACATCCAGAAACCTAGAATTCAATATCTTCTTTAAGTAACAGGTCCTCGAAATTTCTAATATTACTTCCGAGCTCTCAGCGACTATAGGTTGCTTCAAATAATTTTCTAATTTATGTGAATAAACTTTAAGCCTTTGAGCATACTGTAGTTCATGTAAACATGAGAGACAAACGGGCTAGGTTGAAAGAGAAAATATAAAACTTATGCTATTGTTTTTAGGGTCAAGGTCCATTTTAACCCGTGTGGTTTTGGTCATGGACCACTTAAGCTCTTATGATTTACTCGTGTCTAAAATAACTCTTACATTTTAAAAAACATAACATATAAGTCCCTCCCGTCAAGTCTGAGTTAATAGACGTTAAAGTCTGCTTACGTGGCATACTGACTCACAATAAACTATTAATATAATGATATGTTTAATTTAAGTTTTTAAAAAAATTAAGATCCATTTTAGCTCTTGTGATTTTGGTCATGAATCACTTAAGCCCTTATGATTTACTCGTATCTAAAATAACCCATACATTTCCAATAACATAACATATAAGTCATTCCCGTTAAGTTTGAGTTAACAAACGTTAAAGTCTGCTTCCGTGGTATGCTAACTCACAATAAATCATTAATATAATGACACATGTAATTTAAGTTTAAAAAAGGATTAAGGTCCATCTTGTCGAGGAAGAGGACGAGCTCAAGATGGTGGTCGCTTCCACGATAACGCCTCCTCCCGCCTTTGATGGTAGTCTTAATTTTTTTTTAAGCTTAAATTACATATATCATTATATTAATGATTTTATTATGAGTCAACATGTTACGTAAGCAAACCCTAACATCCGTTAACTCAGACTTAACAGGAGAGGCTTATATGGTATGCTTTTGAAAATATAGGGATTATTTTAAACACGAATAAATCATAAGGGTTTAAATGATCCATGGTCAAAACCACAGGAGTTAAAATGAACTTTAACTCTTTTTTAAACTTAAATTACACGAATCATTATATTAATGATTTATTGTTAGTCAGCAAGCCATATAAGCAAACTAACTTTTATTAACTCAGACTTGACGGAAAAAGCTTATATGCTACGCTTTTTAAAATGTAATTATTTTAAACACAAGTAAACCATAAGAACTTAAGTGATCCATGATTAAAAACATAGGAGCTTAAATGAACCTTAACCCTTGTTTTTAATATGAACTTGAGAAACATAACCATTGATGTGAAGCCATATTAAAAGGAAAAGGTACATGAGTAAAGAATTCTAACATATAGAATTGTTGTCTTACTGATTATATTATTCCATAAAATCTTCAAATCATGGATACAAGAAATTGATCAGATGTAATTGCTTTATTTTCAAAAATTGCTTTGCCAATATAACAAAACATAAAACTAAAGCTTTGCCCTAGTATCTTAGTAAGAAGTTCCCCCTACACTCGTTATCACTGAAAAATGTCATGAAATTCTTGTGAATCAACTACCATATATATTTATATATAATGGCTACTACCATCAACTCCATATATATTTAATGGTTTAAGTTTGTCAATAGTATAAAACTCAAAAGCCTAAAATAAGTTGTTACTTTTTGACAGTAAAATCTGCTCATACAAGTCAACCAAATCCTACAAATCAGAATAAAAAAGAGATGTGTAAATGCGAGTATACGACCATCCATCACAAATGAATAACATCATCAGAATAAACCAAAAAAGATATTCACAGTTAAAATGCACAGTTATATGATATAAATATGCAATTTTGACATAGATACCCTTGAAGTTACCGTGGTCTCAGTTAGTGTAGGAGTTCCATAGAGATTTCCAGTGAAACTTTGATATATTAGCCACACACCCTCAAAATCCCACCATCAAAATCTCATCATTCAAACACTATTCTCCAAATCCCATAATTTAAGTTCCCAAGTCCATTAGCAATTTGATATCTTAAACTAAACACTCTCTATATCCCACCATACAAATTCTGGGATTCATTATCCAATGGTATCATAGGCAATTATGGGATTCTCAACTGCTTAAAATTTCCTATTAAGAAATTGCTACTTAGAATTTGGACACTTATTGGAACTTTTGATAAATATCAAAATTTCATACCAAATGGGACCTAAAAGTAGGGTTTTTAATACCGTTCTGTATCGTCCGATACAGGCGGTATGTACCGGTCCGCTAGCTGACTAGCACGCAGACCGCCCACTATCGGGTGGTATTAGCCTAGCTGCAACAAGACGAGGCGAGGAAGAAGAGGGCATTTGAAGAAGAGAGAAGCATCAAGAAAGAGGGAGAAGCGTTGAGAAAGAGTACCGCAAAGTCAACGATGCGCCGTCACCAACGTCTCGATGAACCTGAGCCCATCGAACCTCGGTGTGAACTTGTCTTCCACGCCCTTTCTCAATCCCGATTCGACGTCCCCCTCCCTCGACGATCCCGATCTAGGAGGTAACGACGAGGAGAGTCGTACCTCTTTGGAGGGGGAGCTGGCGGGGATCAAGGGAGGTAACAACGAGAGCAACGGAAGAGGCAGCCGCAAGGAAGATGGCGAAGACCCCGGCCTTCATCTCCAAATAGTCTCCTTCGTCCACTACTTCCACACGGAGAATCTTCCGATATCGTCTTTCTTCTCCCGACCTCTTAGACATCGAAGGTCGTAGACGAGGCGACGAGGAAAAGAAGGACGAGGCAACGACGATAAGGCGACTGCTCAGTATGTCATATTTTCTTTATATCTTTATATATTGATTTTTCATTTTTATATCTTTTTATATATTAATTTTATATATTTAATATCGCTCGATACTAGAATTGATTTTTATTTTTTTTTTCTAGACGTACTACTTGGTATGTCGTATCATACCATACCAAGCAAAGCTCAGTACACCGATACGATACGAAATTTTAATCCCTGCCTAAAAGTTTCACGCTTCCTAACAACTTTGAAAGAAGTACTTCTGAATAAGCAACCATGCACAAAACAGACTATAACATTCCCAAAAATAATAATAATAGATAATTAAATACAATAAATATGGAAAATTATAATTTCTACACTTGTGAGATAACCTTTATTCACTTAACCAACTTAGTGTTGAAATCACTACAGTGGATGTAACGAAGACTAGGTATGTTAGGTGTAGTCTTAGAGACCGAAAAGAAACACAAAATCCCTAGGGGGTATTCCAGATGCTATTTAAGCATGTCAGGGTGAATAAAAATAAATCTAGATGGAGTAAAAAAGCCCTCCTTAAGAGGCATTTCTTGCTTCCCCTTCAATCATTTGTTATTTTAATCTTTTAAAAAAGTTTGTGTGTTTCTTTTGCTTATATCTGCTAACAACCCCTTTCGATGGTTGAAAACATGATAACTCTTCAAGTGTCAATAAGAGCAATTACAGTGACATCATGTCACAATTGTGAGGATATTTTGAAGGATTAGCAACTTTGGAGAGATGACATTTGAACATGAAGCAATGAAAGGAGCAAGAATTATTGTATACTACTTTCTTCATAAATGCTATTTGTTGTCGTTGGTCTCAGCTTCTTGTTCAGACAGATTGATGGTAGGAAGACATTGTTCCTCCCTTGAGTCACTAAGGTTTCTTGTGATAAATCTATCCATTTGCAAGAAATGTAATAAGGTTGTGATCCAGGTTTAGTTGAGAACTATATGCTTTAGTTTCTAGGTTATCCTTGATTGCCATTTAAATTTATATCAATAAACTTCTATTTGTTAAAATTTGCAATCAGCAGGCTTCAACTCAATTCTTGTCTTCACATAAAGATCGAAGCATACACAGTAAATCACAAGACATAAAGTAGTTAGAGATTAGTTATTTTTAAATGATCTTGTAATGATCTTTCCTGAACTTCATGAGTTCAGTTTCCCATGATCTTACTATATATGATCACAATAAGTGATTGCTAAGCTGCAGAACATAGCATGCTCCACAGCTGGTGACAATAGTATCTACTCCAAAACCATTTCCAGTAGCTGGTGAAGGCAGTGTACCTTGAAATTGTGAACATTGTGGTTGATCATGAAGTGCTCAGGAGGGATGCACAATCAAGAAATTGCAGAAGAAGCTTATAGAATAAGCACTTATTGGGACTTATTCTGCAAGATGCAATTGCTCCAAATTCTAAATTTACTTACCTCCTCGATTGTAAGTATGAATAATTCTAAACAGATGGAACACTTGTTCTCCAGACCGAGTATTCTAATCGCAAGAGATACAAGAAATACCATGTGGTATGTACTAGTCTGATCAGAGACCAGGTTGTAAACCAGGTGATTCTGATCAGTATCTTCAGATAAAGCAAAGATAGGCAGCTGAACTGATCCTGAATTATATAACAGACTGATATCATGATGTAGCACTTACAAATAATGATCTAAACCTTCTTTAATTTAAACAAAACCTGTCAAAACTCTAATATAACAAGTTGTGATTCTTCATAGGAGAAACAGGTTGAGACAACACCGATAACATGTGGAGTGGAGCAGTGATTGCAAAAGGCGCTCGGGCGCTCGCCTAGGCGCTCGGGCGAGGCAAGGCGAGGCCCGAGCGCCTCGCTAATGTCCCAGGCGGCGCGCTTCAAACAGGCGCCGCCTGGGCGCTCGCCCGAGCCCAGGCGCTGGGCGCTTCGGGCGAGCGCCTGGGTAAACCAAGGCGACCGAACCAGAATTTTAGGTCTGGTTCGGTCCTGGTTCGGTTGTTAGTTGGTTCAATCAAACCAACTAAACCGATATAACCCCAACCCTAACCCTAACCCAACACTAACCTGCTGCTGCTGCCGCTCTCGATCGCGATCGCGATCTCGTCGCTCGCTGCCGCTGCTCCCGCTGACGCTGCTCGCGCCTCCCGCAAGCCCTCTCGCTGCTCGCGCCTCCTGCGAGCCCTCCCGCGAGCCCTCTCGCTGCTCGCGTCTCCTGCGAGCCCTCCCGCGAGCCTTCTCGCTGCTCGCGCCTCCCTCGAGCCCTCCCGTGAGCCTTCCCTCTGCTCGCGCCTCCCGT